ACATCTTCAACTAGCCTGGCTTACTTTTCTGAAATCCACTGGATGAAACTGAATTTAAAATGCAGAATGTAATTTTGTCCCAGGTACAAAAGCTGTGAAATTCTTTGGAGTTATGTGGCCATTAATTAAATCAATAAATGAAATGTTAAAAATGAATAGATACTTAGATGCAAAAGCAGAGGAAAAATGAAATGCTACTTAAATGGAAGCATTTACTTCAGTCATACCAACTTTAGATAAATTATAAGTACTGCAAAGTGAGGAAAAAGCATTGCTTACATTTAGTTTCTGTTAAAGTACACCTGAAATGAGAGTTAATTGCCATATAAAAATAACTTTAATGTTGCAAATCTCAACTCAAATGAAGTGCTAGAAATTAAAGTACCTCAGGTCCTTGCAATGTTAACATCTTTTCATTTGGCTGCTGCAGTATTGCCCTTAAAAGTAATCAGCATCTCCTAATCTTTGTGACCACTACATCTTTAAGCATCTGCTATCACCTTATCAAGGCCTTGAAGCATTTTTGAGCCTTACTGATCATCACTTGGCACATCACAAGTCAGATCCTGTGGATATTTAAGTTTGAAGTGCATGCAGGAGAGAACTCTGGTAATGGTAGTTGACATCTGCACTTGTCCATAAAAGGAGCAAGTGCACCAGACTCTTTGCTCCATAACAAACATACTTGGCTTTGAGAAGTTAGGCTACCTTGAAAGAAAAGCATGACAATATAGAAATACTGTCACAAAAACCAAACTGATAATTCAGCTCATCTTAAGCGATGAATTTCCAAAAGTGATTTTTACATCCCAAAAGAAAAAAAAAAAAATCTGCATTAAAAATAATCTTCTTTACTCTTGATCCAACACCCTTAAGGTCCCCATGTTCCAGAACAATCTGGTGTAAATAATAGATAATTTCAGAACTAAGGTGCAATCAGTTGATAGTTCTTTTTCTGTGTGGACTCAGCAGGATAATTTGTCAAGGACCTTCTCAGGGTGGTAATAGTGCTTGGCAGTAATATCTATCTGTAAAATTCCAGCAGAGCAAATAGCTGGAATAAGTGTCAGGAAAACTCACTTATCTGCTGTACTAATAACCACAAGCCTGCACACATCATGCTGAGAAAACCTCCAGAAGGAACAATGTCATTACCTTAAAATTTCAGGTTGGCTTGATGAGCTGTTTATTCCAATTAACACAGGAGGAAATTGCTGGGTAACCATCACCCTCATTTAAAAGTCTGCCTGATGTTCACACTAGGATGACTCCTGGAACATACTTTCTTTTGAGGATCACTACATTTAAAGCTATATTTAATCACATATGGCAGCTACAAATTTGATCTCCTCATCATAGACAGAAATAAATTTCCAAGGTGTGTTCACACATCCAACAGAAAAAGTAAAATACCTGAAACTGCCTCTGATCAGAGCCTAAGTTAAAACTTCATTTTACAAGAAGCTGCCAAAATTCTGTTTCAGTGTTCAAAGTCCATATCCCAGGTCATTATGTAGCTAAGGGAATGAGCAAAACACTAGAAAATGGGGTCTTGCAAAAAGCATGAAATGGTCCCTTCTGTCCTTTTCAATAATATTTATTTTTCTAAGAATTAACAAAACTGGTGGTACACACTGTGTAAAACATCATCTATCAATCAGCTTTTATAACTACATATATAACTTGTTGAAATTAGTATAATATTGTGTGTACAAAGAGACTGATTTCGCAGGATATTGGATTAGAAAAATTATTCCTCATTTTCCATGATTATAGCAGAACACTAATTTATTGATCTACTTTGTGTTACTGATTCTTTCTTCTATTTCAAATTTTGAAAATTATTCCAAAGCATTTTCAAATTATTCCATTGAAAAAAGTTCCTTTGTGCTGGGATGTAAGGTGTGCATGATTGAAGGATTCATTCCACATGCTCACAAGCTGAGCCTTGACGAAACTAAGAGGTGGAAGGACATGTTCATTGCAATGGGAAGACCTACATTACAAAATCCTGAACACAATGGAAAGGTTCACAGAAAAATTACAAGTCCTTGCTGAGCCAAGACGGATGGAGGAGATAATTTTATCCAACAGACAGAAAAGCTCAGGTCAGAAGAGTGACCATTTCTTCTCAAGAGCAGCATCCAATGAAACACACAGTCTGCAGGTGGAATAAAGTTAAACCTTCCCAAAATGGGAAAACCCCTTGACTCTGACCTCAATTGTGTCATCATCTACACTTATCATTTACCATTTTGAAAATTATACCCAAAATTGTGAATCCTAAATTCAGAGCTGATTGACTGGTTATTTTTTTCTAATGATTTCCCATTATTTTACCTTTTTTTTTTTTTCATTTCAGGCAGAATTACTACGGATTTACAAAAACAAAACAAACCAAATTCCCCATCAAAAGCAAACCAACCAGCCAGGAGAAAACTATGCAAAGTTGCTCAGGGAGAAATAAGAAATTAAGACCTCAGGATGTTTTTTCCCCTCACTTGAAAAGGAAGGCAATGAAGTTTACTCATGTCTATAACACAGAAGGAAACATTTCAGTTTAGACAAAGGAACTGGGTACGTACAAACAACTACATCCATGGAAATGACTCTGGAAGCTGGATGGCCCCTGAGCACTGGGATGTGCCTCACATCAAAGTTTTCAGCTCAGGGTGCAAATGACTACATTGTTCTGGTGACTTAAAAATTTATGTCTGAGAAATCACCACCTTAGAGTAAGTTTTAGATCAGGATAACCTCTCTTTGAAATTATCCAAAAGAATTGGATCAGGTGAAATGATCCTGCTGCAGAAATATTTCTGATTTTTAGCAAATAGAACACAGTCATATTCAGTGATGTTTTTAAAAACCATGGACACACAACATTGACCTTACTGCATGGTAACGTGAACATTTCTCTTCATCTTCAGTATCTGTCACAGCAGCAATGGCAGGGTGAAATGACCAAAGTGAAAAATGCTGTTTAAGAACTGGTGTTCCCTCACACACATGGGATACCCATGTGTGCTTCAGGGAGATTCATCCTGAGTTTTCCACAGCCCCTGTAAATACTCTAAGCATCAGGCAGCCACTGGACTGTTTCATACGTGCTCTCAAAGCTTGTGACATTGATTTATCCTTCCAATAGGTATCAGAAGGAGTGGAAGTCAACAGCAAGGGGCGGCATAATTGGATGAAAACAACAGTACTATTGGCACATGAGAAATTAAAGAAACATTGATTAACTAAAAGATCTGAAATAGGCGCCTTACCTAGTGCAACTTCCATACTGAGACTTTGAAACAGACACTAATCTACAACTTCTAATTTTTAAGTGTTTTAGATGTGAAATCTTCATCCTCCCTCTCCAGAGTAATCAACTGAGAGCTATTTACTATTAATATTTTATACCATGGCCTTATGGTTTACAATGTTTCTTTGCAGCAAACATCCCAGTTGCATGAACACCCCAACACAGCGTATCCCCCACCACGAGTAACCTGTTACAAAGAGAAACTGTTTTTTTTCTGTTAATTGTTGACATCATATGTCAGCAGCAGTAGAGTAAATACGGAGTAAACTATTACACAGCAAAATAAAGAATGCTCACAGACAGTAAACCCTGGTTCCCAGACCTGAAATCCTATCTTAGACTAATTTCTTTGGCTTTGGGAAGACATTAGGACAGCCTGTAGCTTACCAGAAATAAAACATTGGCACTGGCAACTCTAGTTTCAGCAGCTGTTCTGCAGATGAAAAGGAAGATTTAGAATATTCCTGGACAAGCAGCCTGAAAATTAGTCTCTCTCAGATGAATATAAAACACACTGTTACAAACCTTGTATTTCCATACAACAGATAATGAAAAACCATCTGTCCATTGTGGTTATATGCCAAGCAGCCAGCCCAGCATACCATTTTGTTATCTGTATTCAAGATATCCTAATAAACAATACTTCTTAACTCTTTTCATTCTGTCTGCACTTTTCATTCAGTCCTTCTGATTAAAAACTCCATTGTTCAACCCGCCTCTTTCAAGGTCAGTCATGTACATAACAAGGAGATTAACTCCTGGAAGTATAACTGTGTTCCTCTTTTGTATTTGGAGAAAAAAGAAAAAAAAAAAAAAAAAGAGAGCTTTAAATTAATGCTAACATTTTATTCTGCAGGGATTTCCCAAGTTAAGCATAATGTTTCTGTGGACTTTTAATGATCAATATCCTGTGCTCTCAATAGCCAATTCCAATCCTGGTTGTCCTATAGACATCAGGAACCAGTGGGTATTAAGAGATAAATTGTACTCAGCACTACTTTAGTCCAGCAGATAACATGAAGAGTATGTTTGCAATTAAAATTCACAGAATGGAGTATTTTAAGGGAACACATTTCAGTATCAGCAGCAGCACGTTGATGATGAAAAGTCCACAATGGCATGGTACTGTGTGCTGTATTATGCAAATGGATGCAGCAAAGGTCAAAGCTTATCTCAATCTCATAATAATGTACTCTGCAGAGAATAATTAATTACAGTCTGCTTTCTTATATTGTGTACCACAACACTAAAAGCCATTTTACTTGGGAATTTTCTTTTTTTATGTTGTAGAGAAATAATATCAAAGGTTTCTAATTTTCTCTTTGGGGACCAGGGGGAAGGGAAGGCACAGTTCTTTATTTTCCATAGCAACACCAAGTTAAAATTAAGCACTCAAAGTACTGTCTTTTAATTACTAAAATGCAGTTAAATTTTGGTGCTTAGGAATGAGATTTCTGTGTCCAACATCTGCCTCACATTACAAGAACAGAAGTGTTTGAACAATTTCCATGAGGCAAGAAGTACTGTAAGGATTCAGCTAAACTACACAGCTCCCTACAGAGGGTTACACTTGGGATCTACTGTATATCTGTAAATTACTGGGGGCCTGTGCTGGGGATGGGAAGTGTCATCCAGAGCAGAGCAGAGAGGTTATGAAGCTGGAAGCACCAAAAGCCAGGATGCAAACCTGTGTCTGAGGTGCTGCAGGGAGGTTGGGAAACCGGTGCTCCATGAGTTCTGGTTCTGTCACTGTAAACCCCATCTTCTCCATCCACTGGGCCAGCTCTGTGTTTTCCTCTCTCTGCCAAAAAGAAGGACAATTGCTTGGCTTGGTAAGGAAATACCCTCCAAGAGCTGAAGTTCAGAGCAGCCCATGCTACCTTATGCAATCTTTTGTTCACACCTATTCTTAAATACACATTACACAAACAGAGTTTTAAAAAGAGTGCTCCTCTGACCTAAGCCTCAAGAGAGCAGTGCTCTAAGCAATAGGATGAGATGTTTGTGTTCTTTCAAATCCAAGGGATCTTAGTCCTTACTCTCAAATATTTGTACTGCCTTGTCATTTTGAGCTGGAAGCTAAATAGAGCTGCCTGAGATCAGATGGGGTCATGCTGCACAGAAGACAGAAAAACCACCATGACCAAGAAGCAATAATTCTGTTACAAGGAGCCATGTTTTACACAACTGGTTTACACAACTAACTGAGGGTTAATTGGTCCCACAGGAAGTCTGTCATTCATCAGGAACTGGAACTCCCCAGTTCCAGCCTCAGTTCCTTTAGCTTATTTTTCCTTGTGTCCTCTAGGAAGCTGCATGCTTGTGGTTGTTTCTAGGGAACCTGAACCATATGTTCTTCATGGGACCCAGTGGTCTCTAAAGCTCATTCCCTGCTGTCTGCACAGGTCAGAACAACTCTTGTGTGGTTTTTATTCCTTTATGTGACAAACTTGCACACAGGCAAGCAGCTTTCCCCATCCCTAGAAGTCATCTGTCACTGTAACCTCGAGTGTTCACCACAAGATGCAGAGCTAGACCAGTGGCAGTGCCATCCAAACTCACACAGGTCCAGCTGTCCTTATGTCAGTTACCTTCACACGCTCCAAATACAGCAACAGCACTTTCCAGGGAAGGTGAAAATGCTGCAGAGTAGTTAATGTTGGCAGTAGTTGCTAAAAGGTCATTTGGAGACATTCATTAGTTGTTTGCTGCAGCAGACAGCCATTATTATTGGCAGCAGAAACTGGCAGAAAGCACTGTTATTGTCAGAAAGCATTAAAAGAGTGACATTTGTCAATATGGGCTCTTCCACAGAGCAGCAGGCTAAGAGAACTCCATCTCTCAATTTAAATGGAAAAAAAGAAAAAATAGCATAAATACCCTGACTTGCTTTTATCTGCATCTCCTGATAAGGGCATTGAAGATGCTTTAGGAACTCTGTATCAGCCCATATCCTATCAGGGAGCAGAAAAGCAGAAAACATGCAGAAGGATTTTATCCTGAATTTCAGTTCCTAGGATTCTGCTATGAGTTTTCCCAGAATTAACAATCTCTGACTCTCCACCTGTCAGGCACATCTAAGCACTAACTCTATTTCTAAGCACCTAGATGTTGCTAAGTAAATGAACTCCGATCTTTGCCCTTTTTATTAGTAAGGATGAAAATATATTGAGATTCAAGATCCCTTTTTTTTTTTTCCTCCATGAATTTGAGGAAATGCAACCATAATACATTCAAGACTCAGAATGTGGAAGTGAAGCATAAACCCAAGTTGCATCTCTATAATCTTCCACTATGGCAGGACAGTAATGGAATTAATAGAACTTTAATGCTGTCAAGTCACATTAAAACACATTATTCAGCCCTCCCCAAGCCTACACTCCAATAAACCTCAAGTCCCCAATTACTAGGTATTTCAATATTTGTACAAAGAGCCTTTAATAATGAGAACACACACTGCAGATATGTGTGCTGCTGTACTATTAAACTGAGATAAATAACCTGGGACAATTATTCCCAGTCTTAATAAAGCTGATTTTCTAATCAAATGTCAATAAAATGACTGGTTTTTAATATGGACACAATTGCACTAATAACTTAGAGTTATTAAATACTGGCTTTCAGAATGAACACAGAAGCACTGTTATTTTTTTATGACACTCTTCATTCTCCTGCTGGCTTCCTTCACCTCGAGCACTCAAATCCTTTTCATTCAGTAAAGCAGTCCAAGGCTGGCACTTCACTTTCATTTCCATCTTTGTCCCTGTCACAGAAGAAGGGACAAGCAAGAAGAGGGGAGAGATACCAGAAGAAAGGGAATAGTTTACAGCACAGCACCTTTGGTTTGTCATCTCTCAGTGCTCACCAGCCAGGTCTCCATCTTGGATGAGATTGTCCCAGCACTTTTCTCTAAGAGAGAAGCTGAGCAAATTGCTGCAGCACACTGTGCCTGGCTCAGTCCTTCATTTGACTGCTGGATGCATTCAGTTTTCCAGGAGAAGTTCAAAAGCTGAAAGCCAGTGTAACACCATGGGACAGGAATTACAAAGCAGCTAAATGGGAACTGGCAATAGCAGAAGTGTCAATGCAAATCTGATGTCTTCAGGGTTGCTGACAGCTTTGAGTACTAATTTTGACCTTGACCATAATTCTTTTCCCAATTCAAGAGCTTTCCTTTTTATTCTATTCGTTAACAATGAAATTGAATTTTTAAATGGATTGACACAGTGAAAGAGAGGGACATACTTTCACTTCAAAGATTGACATATTCTTAAGGGACTTGTTCCTGTACCCTGTTGGTGAATCAACAAGGAAAAAATGGTTACTGTGCTACAAAAGCAATAAAACATGCAATTTACTAAAACACTGTCTGAAAATATTATCCATGGTAGAATGAGTCTGATTAGCTAACAGCAACAGATAGTTTTATGATTCCAAGTTTTATGGCTCTTTGATAACATAAAGCATTTTTTCTCAAAAGTAAGTTGCAGCACTTAATGCATTTGCTAAGCTTTGTGTTGTCAGCACTATAAATCACTCAGCAAGTTGCCCTCAGAAATAAATACTGCAGTGTATGTTTAGAAATTTACAGTGTGCTAATAAATTACTTGAGAGACAATTTCTGATTTTCAATATCTAGTCCAAAGAACACTTACTTCTATAGTCAAAGGCATTTATTGCTGATAAAATTGTAAATAATAGCACCAGTTACTTACATTTAATAATGACCATAACTGACCTGGAGCAAGTTGTTCCTTACATGTAAAACCAGCCAAAGATGATCATCGCTGATGATGGATTTCAATTACACTGGCAGGATGCAGTAATACAAGGTAACTAGGCTGTACACTTGGATGACGGTTTTTCATAACATTTCCTTGGTTGGAAATAAAAAAAATATTGTTTTCTAGTCTTTCCTCAGCTTTGGGGCAGACCAAATTATTCAGTTGCTTCAATGAATCCACAAATCACATTTTCTCAGCATTTGTTTCAAGCTCTGTTGTGTTGATTCTATCACAAATATTAATGGAATGCCACAAAGGCACTTAGAAAGGAAATTTTGAGGCACTACATCCTGGCACTATCCTACAGTGCCCAAGGGCAAGTGGGTCTTTGACTACAGGAATACTATTTGTTTTTACTCTACTATTGCTATTTTAAAGACTGATTTTTTTTTTTTAAGGACTAGTAATTATTATTTTAATGTCACATTAAAGACCTTACTGGCAAGACAGTGTTTGACCCAAGAATGAAGTTAAAAGAAATTAAAATTAATATTGCATCATCTCTGAAATATCCCTTAGACTTGATCTTATATTAAGGAAAAATTAGGCAGAATGCAGCTGAAGAGGTGGTGGCAGATCAGGATTATCCAAGCACTAAAGGAAAGCAATGTAAAATAATAAGCCAGCAGCCAATTTAGTAGAAATGACAGGATAACCTTTGCTAGGTGTGTGGTCTGAAGTTCATTAAGGCAGAAGTTCCCAGACTCTTCCCAGTGGAGATGCAGGTATGGAGACTGCAGCTGTTCCACAGACAGCTCATTGGTCCCACAGTGGCACTGCTCACCAGGCTCCTTCAGGCTGGGAAACTCCAAAGACATACAACAAAAACACATTAAAAAGTCTGTTAATGATATCACATTTGTCCATGGGCAATCATCAGTAATACAGAGAGGCCTCTGTGTCAAAGGATGTGCTCAGAGAGACACCAAGTGTTCCTGGAGCAATCTCTGTTGGCAGCAGGGCTCATCCTGCAGAGCTCTGCAGCATCCCCACCTGCAGCTGCTCCACTGCCTCAGGGGAAGCTCCCCTGCAGCCACATGGAGGCACCTGCTCACTCAGCCTGCTTCCCTCCCACCTTCCTTGCATTAACTGCTCATCTCCCAGCACAGGGATCAGCCCTGTCCCATTGCTTCAGCACCAGCCTAACCCATGCTAACAACAAATTTCTTGTTTGAACTGATACTCCAAGGCTCATGCAGTGCATTATGAATGACTTCTTAATTTTTTTTAAATCTCAAAGGAGCACAAGAACACCTACAAATGAAGGCTTTACAAGTTTGGAGTGCCTGATATTGGAATGATGAGCTACAAACAGCTGAGAGTTTAATACAATTATTTTGTTATTCTGAATTGCGTTTAATAAAGTATATTTAAAAAATGTGATTCTTCTGAAATCCATCAGTTTTACCTTACAATGCTCTGGTCTGTCTGACGCACGAATCTACAGATCAGTTAGTCCTCTGAAAGAGCTATGTGGACACAAGATTTCTGTCTAAATAAAGACCCCCTACACCAAGCTGGATTTCCTGCTTCTGTGGCTTAAGAAACCATCTGTTCAACTGGAAACAACAGATAATTACCCATAACTGCAGCTGCTTTAATAAACCAGTTGCTCATTTTCCCTGTACCTTGTAGTGTGTACTGGGTGCATGCACTCCATTGTACAGACACTGCCAGCTGAGTGCACTCCATACTAAACAACCTGAAAGCAACTCTAATTTAAGTTACTCCAATACTATATGCACATTCTCCCTGAAGAAATTGAGAATACTTGTGAAATACTGCTTTTAAGAATCTTGGTTTAACCACTGAAACATACCTACAACCCTAAAAAAAAATGTTATCATAACTCATACAATTCTACATTTTACTTCTTGGCTACAGTAAAACAAAATCAAATTTTTTGGCACCAGATTAAGCATTTTAACAGGAACATTGAAAGTAAACATTATCTTGAGTAGCACTAGAATATCAAAATACTCAGTGCCACGAAGAAGTTGCCTTTTGCACGCAGCAGACAAGCAAAGACTGCACGACACTACATTAAATACTGGGTTGTACCTGTTCCTCACACCAGTTCTACTTCTCAGCTATACAATAGCTCCAGTGTCCCAGTTCCTCATGAAACCACGGCTCCCTGCAGGTCTCTCTCCCAAGCCATGGAGACTCACCCTGAGCTCAGAGCCCCGGCAGTGCTGCCGCCCGGGATTCCCGGCGCAGCCCAGACAGAGCCGGCCCAGGAGCTGCTCCTGCCCAGCACTGGAGGAAGCCCAGGGCTGGCAGAGGGCAAGGTGCTTACAGCCCATCCTGAGGGGCAGCTCTTGCACAGGAACGGAGAAATGGATCGGTAGCACTCTCCTGTGTGTCTGGGAAGGAGATCAGCTGGCTCCTTACCTGAGCAGACCGCACTGCTCCATAGTGCACTCTCCCCGTCTGCTCTCCTCCTCCAAGTGATGCTACTGCTCCTCTCTGAGGCTGAATCCCCACTGCCAGGCAATGGCACTTTTGCTGCCTAGCAGCAGGACTTTGGGATCTTCTCTTGTGTGGCTCCTTTGCAAAAGGAGGTGTCAAGTCACCGTTTGGACCCCCTGTCAAAGTGGCCTTTGGAGATGGGTGATGTGCACCACCAAAGCCTCTGCAGCGACCAGCAGCTGTAGAAGCTGGGGCTGTCACTCTGCAGAGCCAGCCTTGCTTTGAGGACACATTTCCCTGCTGCTGTCAGCACAGCAGCTTAAGGAAAACACCGTGACTGGTGTCTCACATGGCTTGTTCCCCTTCAGCCCTGGTGTTCTGGCTGACTGCTTGCCACTTGTGCTGCTACCTGGACTGGCCTCAGGTTACACAGGTCTTGGCAGCGCGCCTACCTGCAACGTGCCTAAAAAATCAGCATCCCCAAAACACTTCACAGGTCATGGGGAAGGTTTTAATCAAGGAAAAAAAATCTGCTGAAAGCACAGAAAAATCAGTGAATCTGTCAATGGTTACAGTTATGACAGAATGAATTTTCATTTATAATTTTAGACTATTAGACTTGTATTTTACTTACTTCAGAGGGATACAGTTGCCTCAGATATTCTGCAGTTAATGCAGCATACAAATTTGGCTGCCATTCTCTGTATCAAAGAACATTTTTGCAGCCACCCTATTAGACTCCAGCCCAGAATTTGCAAACAAAGTTCACTTGGGGAACTTCTGCTTACATGGGATGTTCGTGGATTTGTGTTGTCTTCTAATGCATTAAAAGTGAATACTTTCCTTGCAGCATGTTTTTGAAAAAGCTCTTGCTGGATCAGAACCACAGACACTTTAAAGACAGAAAAAAACAATATAAATCCTGACTGTAAATAAGATGGAATGACAGATCAGTTGCTCTCTAGTATTTCTGGCTGAAAGCAGCTAAGGAAACACATGCCATGATAATGACACAGGAGGGAAGAAAAGCAATCTGCCCATTACTACAAGCACCCAAAGAGCAGAAGGATAAACCAAGTAGGTGTTGACATTATGTAACATGCTCAAGCAATTTTAACAGACACTCTGTTTTCTGTCTTAAAAATACAACCCTTAAAAAAAAAGGGTTGTGTCCCACTCCTGCAGCTCAGCACTTCAGTTTAGAAATTTCTAGTCTGAATTCCGAGTCAAGAACCCATTTTTGGTACTGGCTGCAGCCAATCTCCACGCCTCATTTAAACAATTATGCCATTAAGTGCTTGGATTAAGAACGTTTGTAGTGCCTCTGCACAATAAAATACCAGAGGCTTTATGGTGGGAAGCCTCTTGCTACAGTGAAGGCAGAAGCCCATCTCATCAACATGCTACCCAGCCATCCTCTCATTCCCTACATCATGCATGGAAAGAAAACCTGTTTTCATACTATCCCAAATGCACATGACAGCACAAATAAAGTGCTTTAGCTTTACAGTATCCATTACAATTATCCAGCAGTCCTTGGCATAAACTGTGAAAAGCCCTTTCTTTTTGAATAAATGGACTCCATCAAAATTCTGCAGGCACCTGAACTGACTGCAGATGAACACCAAAAGTCGCTGGCATTTTGTTACAAACAAAGGCCTTTTCCCTGTGAAGTTGTCTGACACAGAATTTTACTGCCCTGGATTTCCTGTATAACAGAGAACCATGCTTTTGCTAGCAGATAAAGCTAAGAATGTGTGGTTTATGATATTTCAAGACATAAGGCAAGTAACAGGAGAAAATACTTGTGTCTTATGTAATCTTTTGGCCTTCATAAAGTCAGTAGAGCTATTTCACCATCACTCAGTTTATTCTGGGTTAATTACACTGCTCATTATGCTGTCATAAATCAAATAAGAAATGAGAAGTCTCCCAGGACCTCTGATAACACAAGAAGAGCAAGTGCTATCCAAGTAGACGACAGGCTAGAAACTTTTAAGTGGAAGGGACAATTTCCACGTACAAACTAAATTAGTGTATCAAACTCACCTAAGCACTAGAGTTCTGTTTAGTTACAAGGCTGCTGAGTTGACAAAATATCAAAACTTAGTAATAAATTCTTTCTCCCTTCAGGATTGGAATGGCAGAAAATAAAATCAGCATTTTACCATTTCAGTTCTGTGTTAAATCCTGTCTTTTTGACACTTCATTTGTCAAGGTTAATATTTGCCTTTCATTGTCGCTAAGTGAATTCTGCTTATTATACTTACTCAAGTTACCTGGCATTTCACAGTAGAGTCAGAATTTGCTCTGTTGTGAGCTCTGCATTGGAGGTACTCTGAACTCTCTCCTTCCTCTGGGTGAAATTTCTGTACAAATGGCTATTCTAGGTGTCTATTTTTGGGATGGACCTATATTAAAGCTGCTGCAAAAAGATTGCCATAAAAACACAAATGCAGAAGAACTACACTCCTCAGATTATTCCACCCTTGTTCCACGACACTTACATTTGTATTGATTTTATAATGAATGCACATGAGATGAGGGAAGTGCTGACTTCTCTTGCTCTGCCATATCCACTGCTGCTTTTCTTGTCTAAGTGAGGTGCAGTGTCTCACTGAACTATTAAAAAAGAATGACTTATAGAGGAGTAAGTTTCTCTTACAGCATAACCATTAAGAGCTTCTCTCCTAAGGCACTAGGTGTTAACCAGCTTAGTGCATTAAAAAAAAAAAAAAAAGTGACCCCTGTGATTTAGTGTTTTCTAGAATGTACAGCTTGAAAAAAAGGCAGTTTGAACACTAGCAAAACATGGACTGAAGCACCACTGGCAAGCATGCTCCCATTCCTTCACCCTCAACACACAGATTCCATGGATTGTACTGTGCAGGTTCTCCAAGTGAGGATGGTGATGAGTCAGGCTGAAATAAGGTACTCAAACACTGCCAATCAGGGGTTTGAGGAGTTCTCCTAGGTCATGAGTCCCATTTTCTTAGCTGTGAGACCTCTTGAAGATGTCATTTAGGGATAATACCTGAACCATTAGCTGGCATTAGGAATATGGAGATGGCAATTCAGTGCCAAAGGAGCGCAATGCTGAATTTACACTTCAACACTGCCCTAGAACACAAACCCTGTCAATAAGATCCTTTCCCAAAGGCAATGCACAAGGCAAATCATCATAATTGTCTTGTTTCTTGACAATTAGTTCACCTAATGTGTTTAACACTACTACAAACACCATTTCCCCCATGACAATTTAAATGAGATGACAAAGCCAAAGCTCATTCCCAGGGACTCTGCTTCAGAGATAGTTCCCTGTTTGCTTAGCAGGCCACTTCAGAGCACACTGCAGGCTGACAAGGGACAGCACATTCACACTGAAATGTGTGCA